CCCCAAAACCCCAAAACCCCAAAACCCCGGAATATTCTGCTAATGTTGATATTGAGTTGATGACCAATCAGACTACTTCTTCTTATGAATAAACATCCTTGTCAACGTGTTCATACCCTTTTTGGGAATCGGCCTGATAGGACTGAAGCCTACAGAATGATGAAACCATTACCTTTCAGATTTTTTAACTTCTTTGGTTGGGAGATTGAGCTTAGCATTGAAAGTGATGAGTTAAGCTATAGATCAGCAAGACAAGGAAGATACTGAATTCGTGGTTTTGCGTTCTCTGTGAGGTGTTTTAGAGAACACAACTCTTGGAGCTCATTTTTGGAACCCTTCATTTAACTTTTTAATTGTTTTACCACCAAGTATTGGCTTTCTATTGTTACTCATTTGATCATTTTTAGAATCATGAGAGACATCCCAATCAGTAAAGTTTAGCTTTGACTTTGTGTAAGAACCCTTGCGTTCTTCAAAAAGTTTGAAATTGAGCAACTTATTTAGCATAAGGATTCTTCTTGAGCCTATCAAGAGTTGCCAGCCTCTGATATTAATAAAATTAATTTACCTCTGAAAGTCCATTCTTATCTTCAATCAGATCATTTTTAATTTCAACAGATACATTTGCCTTTTTAATATCTTTTCTCAACAATTTCTCAGAAAGTTGGGTCTCTTTCTTCTCATCCATTCATTTATCCATCTTACCTAGACCCAATTAAAACATTCTTACACTTATCATACCCACTTATCAACCCCAATGCATCTATACTTCACCTGCCACCTTACCATTCCTGTACTTCCCCTCTCCTTTCCTTCCACCCCCACCATCTCTTCCTCCCCAGTCCTTTCCCTACACTATCAACGTGTACACTTACCTCATCCCTACCTCCCACATCTCCCTTCTCCCTCTCTTCCTTCCCACTCTTGGTCCCGCCTACATCCCCTCTATAGGCTACCCTAAACCTGTCCCCCCTGTCACTTTCTCTTCCTCTCTTCTGCAATTTCTAAACTCAGTTAAATTTAAGCGTACATTTTTATTAGTAGGTGGAGTTATTAGTGGCTGGGTTGGGTGGGTTTGTTCGGGAGATGAACTTTCTTCTTCGGTGATGTGGTCGGAGAGGATGTGGGTGTGGCTAGGAGGGGAGGAAGGGGCTGGGATTGGGGGAGTCTAGAGGTGAGTGAGGGAGGTACAGTGGAGGTTAGAGGGGTGGGAGAGGGTGCAAGGGGGTGTGGAGATGGGCTGTGTGAAGGAATTTTTGGAATTTGAGGTCTTTGAGGCGAGAAATGGGTGGATCTGTGAAGGCCCTTTTGGGTGATTTTTGAGGAGTTTTTTGGAGGATTTTGGTTAGATTTGTCGAAAGATTTAGGAAAATCACCTAATCATGGAAATTTAAGGATTTTCTTGACTTTTAGACCAGTTTTATTTTCAACACTTGGTGACAATTCCTTATTTCTTTCAAAATGAGTCCCTATTTTCTCTCTATAACTTTGGTGTAACTTATTAAGGTCTTCCAATTCTGTAACTTGATGATCAAATGTAACACTAGTTTTCTTGATGATCTCTATACTTTGCTCTTCCTCAATGCTGTCCAAGCCATTGCTTAGATCAAGGTTGGAATCAGTGGATATAAAAGCTACCAAATCTTTTACGCTTAATGAGAACTTGGGAGGAAGGTACTTGGTCTTCTCGAGGTCTATCACTTTCTTATATAATTTCATAAATAAAATTCAGAAATTATCGTTAAAATGCCATTTTCTCTAAATTCTCATGCTGATGCTCAGTAATTTTTGCAAAATTATCAATGATTAGCATGCATTGCTTCACCTTAGACTGTCATGCGTGAAGAAGTCTGAAGAGGAGAGCATTATAGGAAGTCTCAAGGGATCGAGTCCCAAAGCCACTGTATACGGACATTTTCAATAAATTTACACAAATTAGGGGTTTTGGGGTTTTGGGGTTTTGGGG